ACTAACGAAAAGACACGTCTGTTTGCGAAGCTGCTCTAATTTTAACTCGTTCTCTTTTTATTTTCCATTTAATGTGTACATAGATTCGGAGTTCGAGTTCCAATACAGTTGCAAGTCTTTCCAGCCTCCATGGGCGTAGTACAATTCAAGTAAGCTTTACAATTTCATAGAAATATTAGGGTAGCTTTGAGTTAACGATTAAACTTGGATTCATATTAAAGCGTTTGACTTATAAACTAAAAGTAGAACTGCGGTGATCCAACATCCCGCCCTCCTTGAAAGTATCACTTTCAAGCAGGCAACAGGGCGATTTTGTGAATAGGGCGTCGGATAGTTCCTTTTGTTGTTTTTATGTCAACGACGCGAATTAGCCCATCCTTTCCTGGAATGCAATTCGAAATCCTGCCCATAACCCATTTTTGTGGCGGAACGTGGTCTTCGTGTATTATAACGAGCGATCCACTTGCGATATTCGTCTTGCCCTTGGTCCACTTGGTGCGACACTGCAATTCATTTAAATAGTCATGTGACCAGCGCTGCCAAAAGTGTTGCTTCACGGCTGTGATTCGATGCCAATGGTTTAGGTGATCGATCTGCTTGTACGATTCTGAGTGCTCTGGTAGTGCCTTTAGCGAACACCCAATCAGCAGGTGCCCCGGAGTCAACGCTTCGCAGTCACTTGGATCTGTGGATAGTGGGGCAATGGGCCGAGAATTCAAAATGGCCTCGATTTCAATTAATGCCGTTGACAGCTCCTCAAACGTTAAGCGAGCACCAGAAAGTGTTCGTTCTAAGTGACCTTTGGCTGCCTTCACCGCAGCCTCCCATAGGCCGCCGAAGTGTAGTGCTCTGGGGGGTATAAAACGAAACTTAACAAATTCTTGTGAACAAAAACTTACTATTTCGGTTTACGTTTTTGAATCAAATAAGAAGTCTTTAAGGGCAGCTAATTTGGACTTCGCTCCCACAAAATTTGTAGCGTTGTCGCAAAAGATGTCGCTGGGCAAGCCCCTGCGACCGATGAAACGCTTTAGAGCAGCGACGAATGCTTCGGTCGAAAGATCCGAAACAGCTTCGATGTGTACGGCTTTGCTTGATAAGCATATAAAAATGGCGACATAGGTCTTGTAAGGTACCTTTCCTCTGATCCGAAGGTATGTATTAATTGGGCCGCAATAATCAACTGCAACTCGTGAAAAAGGTCTGCTCGGAGTTAGTCGCTCTACAGGCAAATTACCCATCATTTGCTCAAGAAGCCGTGGACGGTAGCGTACACAGTGGATGCAACCATTGACAATGCGGCGAGCGAGATTTCTTGCATTGATTATCCAAAATCGGCGACGGATAAGAGCAATAAGCGTTTTCGGACCAGCGTGGTAGTTTGTGCGATGTAAATGACGAACATAATTTTCGACGAACTGACTCTTCGAAGGCAGAAACACAGGATGTTTTTGTTCTTCTACGAGGTCAGCATTTTTCAAGCGTCCGCCAACCTTCAGTAGCATGAACCCTTCAGTAGAAGAGATAAATGGGTTCAAATACTTCAAAGGTCCTCGAGGCTCGCGATTCGTCTTGACACGATCACTCTCGGCACTAAAATAATGGCGTTGGATTAAACACACGATACACCAGAGAGCATGCTGAAGCTCCTGTGGAGTTAACGAGGCCGACTCGAAGGGTCTGTTGAGTTTGGTGTTGATTTTGTAATAAAATCGAAAGATCCAAGATACCACTCGAAGTGAATAAATGTGCGAACTAAATTTTTCGATGACATCAAGCATGTTTGAATGGGCGACAATGCAGAATGCAGATTTGCGTTTTTCCCTTTCAACTTCTGCCATATCCAACTGGTTATGCACTGGTTTGCATGGCCACTGGTCCTCTGGCAACAACAAAAATGATGGCCCCGTGTACCAGATTGAGTCGTGAAGTTCCTGGACTGTGCATCCCCTGGTCACGATATCTGCAGGGATATCTTGTGTAGGTACGTATCTCCAAGTACAGCCTTTGGTGAGTTCTTGAATTTCCGCTGCCCTGTTGCCAACAAACGTCGAGAGTGTAGCTGAATGCGAACTTAACCAATGCAGCACAATTGACGAATCGCACCAAAAAAAAGTATGTCCGTAGTACTTGCTCATGGAAGATTGTATTTGTTGAAATACCTTTGCGAGTAGGTGAGCACCGCACAGTTCCAACTGCGGCAACGATCGCGTTTTTATCGGTGCGACCCGCGACTTGGCTGTCAACAATCTCACAGTTGTGCGATTGGCATGATCCGTAGAACGAAGGTACAAGCAACAACCATATGCGCGGTTGGACGAATCGCAAAATCCATGTATTTGTACTGAAGCTCTGGGTTGTGTGACGCAATATCTTGGCACGCTAATCGATGGCAACGAAACAAAATCGGTGATGAGATTGTGCCATGCCGTATGTAGGTTTTGTGGCACCGATTCATCCCAATTCAATTTTAATAGCCACAACTCTTGCAACATTATTTTGGCCTTGATTGTGAGTGGAGACAAAAGACCGAGCGGGTCGAATAACGACGAAGCGAGAGATAAAATTGTTCTTTTTGTCACCTTACCATTAAACGGCTTCTTGGGCTTAAACGAAAACTGGAACATGTCTTGTGTTTGGTTCCATGTTGGTCCTAGTGTGCTAGTTGTGTTTGAATTGTCGAAACTCATGTACTTTTCCTCCTCATTGTTCGTAAGGCTTTGGTAATTCGAGTGCCACTTCGCTAAGTAAAAGCCACCCTTGCTAAGAATTTTGGTTACCTCCCTTTTGATTTGCGAGAGTTCACGAAATGAGTCCGCACCACTGAGCAAATCATCGACGTAGAAAGAAGAGTTGATAATTTGTGCACAAGAGGGTACTGAGTTCCGTACTGGTCGGCTAAGTACTTGAGCGTACGCACTGCCAAAAATGGTGCAGCAGACGTGCCATAGGTAACGGTGTTTAGTTGGAAAGAGCGCAGTTCCTCCATCGGTGAAGACCTCCACAAAATTAACTGGAAGCGGCGATGAGCTGGCTGCACTAGCACTTGCCTGTACATTTTTCCTACATCAGCAGTCAGCTCATAGCGATGTAGACGAAAGCGAAGTAGCAAAATGAAAAGATCATTTTGGATGGTAGCTCCCACTTGAAGTATGTCGTTTAGCGATTTTTGGGTAGATGTGCGACACGACGCGTCGAAGACAACACGTAGCTTTGTTGTGGTACTGGTGGGCCGAAGTACGCAGTGGTGAGGCATGTAGAAATGTGGGCTTGACAAGTCAACGTTTTCAAGTTTCGTCATGTGGCCCAATGCCTCATATTCTTGCATTAAATCTACATATTGTGACTTAACTTCCGGTTGCGATTGAAGGCGACGTTCGAGCGAAATGAATCGTCTAAGCGCAGTACCATACGATGTACCCAGAACAGCGACATCGTTCTTAAAGGGCAATTGCACTATGACTCGACCCGTAGCATCACGATCCACGGTCTTCACAAAAAATGCTTCACAAGCAGCCTGTTCATCGGTGAGTGGCGATGCATTGATAGTCGTATTGTCGATTTGCCACAATCGCTCCAATTGCTGCTGTATTATTTCCTCACAAGATAACAAACACGATGCTACGTTGATAGATGCTGGACCATTGGTAAGCGAAGTATCCGATACGCTGCATGGTGAAATGGATGCTGCGATAACTGTTGGTGAATTGTATTTGCCAGCAACGATCCACCCCAGCAAAGTCTTCTGCAAGATTGGCAGTGATTCCTTTAACTTAATTTGCCCGATGGATAGGACGTTGAAGAAGCAATCAGTTCCTAATAGCAAATCAACTCCCTGCGATTTGTGAAAATGTTCGTCGGCCAGATTTATATTCGCTGGCAAGTTCCAGGATGAAACGTCTATGTCAGGCACTGGTTGATGTGAAATGTGTGGCGTTACGCAAAACTCAAGTGGCAACTCAAAATCTGAATGACGTGATTTGATGGTAGCTATAGCCTTATGCCTTATGGTTGTTGGTGAATTGCCGATGCTTAAAATTTCCACGCGTTGCTTCTTCCTTTGCAGGCGTAGACGTTGCGAAAAACTGTCAGTTATAAAATTTACTTGTGAGCACGAATCAAGTAATGCTCTACCAAGTTGGTAATTGCCTGCAGCATCTCGCACTAATACGATTCCGGTTGCAAGAATTACTTGCTGGAAGGACGAATTACCCAAATGAGTGTGTACAATCGCACTAGCGTCGCGCGATGTCGTTGAACTCACTTCATATTTTCTACATAGCGACGAATGATGGCGAGCTGAACATGATTTGCATTTGAAAGTCGACGGGCATTTTGAAACGAAATGCCCTGGAGCAAGGCAGTTGTTGCACAATCCAAGTTTCTTTCCATTTTCGAAGCGCGAGCCAACATCTAGCGATTTATAACGAGGGCAATCTTTGATGACGTGTTCGTTGCTGGAACATAGAACACAATTACGCTGGGAACTTGTGATAGAAAAGGCGTGGCGACGCGATGATTTGGATTGCTCAAACTTCTGTGACGACGAGTGTGCTGTATCTTGTTTGCCGCTGGAATCTATGGACTCAAAATATTGGCAGCGCCTTTCGAGTAGTTTGGCACAATCTTTCCATGTCGGCAAGCTCGTAAAATCGAGCGACTCCTTCCATTTTCGTTGAGTGTCTTCATCTGCCTTTCCAATCACAAGATGTATCAGCATTGCGTTGGCTATGTCGCGGTCTGAACCCAATGAAGAAAGTGCGCTGTACAGCGCCGATGCTGTGGCTACCTTGTTTAGCTGCTGCCGGAAGCTCAAAGAGTGACGTGATGTTTTCCATGAATATCAAAGTTGGGTTGTCATAGCGCGACTTCAGTCGTTCGAGCGCCTTAGGATAATTCTCGTTGCTAACTTGAAACGCCTTGACGGTGTCGAGTGCTGGACCCTGCAAACAGTTCAACAAATGATTAAATTTTTCTACGTTAGATAAAACCATTTCCCGATCTATTATTTGATTGGAGGAAGTAATGAAGTTGTTGTATTCTGAATATTTGCCACTGAATGAGGGCAGTTTAAGAGCTGGCAATTTGTGCGGATGCGGCTGTGAAACTGACAGTGTTGACTGTAAAGTTGAAGTGTTTACTTCTTCACACAATTGTGATTCAATTTCAAGCTTATTTCCTATATACAATTCTTCCAGATCGCCACGAGAATTGTCATCAGGGTCCAGCGCTTCAATTTGTGTTTGATATGACAGAATCTGCTTAAAATATGATTCGGCTATTCCAAATCGACACTTTAGTTCCGCAGAAGATAATGTTCGACCATCGCCACGACCATTTGCATCGATTACACTTTTAATGCGGCTGATATTTCGCTTTGTATTTGCACGATGCTGCTGTAATTCCGTCAAGTTCATTTTGACAGCGTTCAACGTAACAGCTGTCAACAAACGAAGATGACAGCTGGGTGTGAGGGTGCAAATATGTAAGCAAATTAAGTTCAAACGGTGGAAGTCTTTGCTAAGCGTTGTGCTAAATTTTATTGAGATATGTAGTTATGCCAACTTAACGAAGAGCGATGGCTTGACTGATGCCTTCGACCATACGAAGTAGTTAAAGATGACTCGAAGTGTAGGTGTAGACAATTACGCCGCTGTTGGCAAAAAGTGCCCTTGACGACTACGCAAGGTGAAAGATGACGTCGGCAGCAACAAGAGAATCGACTATAGCAGCGACGTTAGCAGCAAGACAGAACGTACGTATTGCGCGACAAGATGAATCCGGGGAATTGCGAATCGACGAATTTAATGCGAATTTAATTTTATCTATTTATTTTATCGAGCCCCACGTTGGGCGCCAAAATGTTCGATAAA